ATTTTGACTGGACTAAAACCAGAAAGCCGTAACTAGCGCGCCATATGTCTGCGAGCAAATACGCGCACATGTGACGCTAACATCCGATAGCGCAGAGTATTATGGAAGGTCGAAAAAAATAGGGTGAGGTGGCTGCAGCATGAAGCTCAAGATGCAAGTTAAAAATGCTACAGATGTTTCATCTTCGAACATTTAAGCCGGAAAGGCAAATGTCCCAACATAAAAGGCTAAGGAATACGTTACGAGACGGAAAACAAGGTACAGGCGGAAAGACTGCAAAACCCCCCGAGCTGTTGTCTCTGCGTGGAAAATAAGCATAGTCAAACGGATCAAATTCCAGAGTGTCGATTTTGGAGTGTAACAGTAAAACTACTGACTGCCCCTACCACAGTTCATTCTGGAACTCGGAACTGATATAGCAATCATCACTGAGTAATACAAGATAGTGCAAGATGGAACAAGGATGGAACGRAAAGGTGAAGTTACAAAAAMAAAAAAAAAAAAACAYCAGCGGTAGAGGAAAACGGTTCATCTGGATATGCAATGGAAACATCATGGTAATTAGCTGTTCCAAACGTCTTAGCATTGATTTTATAACCTGCCGACACTTTTTGATGAAATTTGGTCCATATTTTACTTGATAGATGGGCCCAAAGATTTTCAATTGTATTAATTTAGGAGCTTTATGGCGGTGTTTGCAGATGTTTTGGGTTGAAGAGAATCCACATTTTAACGTCGTGGGCTGTATGTTTCGGGTCATTGTTGTGTTGAAACAAAAACTCGATTTTYACATGCCCATTTTTTCAGCACTAGAATATAAATTTACCTTAAGAATGAAATTAAGATGATAATCCATTGTGCCGTATATATTAAAAAAGATTCCCAACTCTCTGGAGCTGATAAATGTGGATTTTCATTATTTTCCTGTCATATATACGCTCCCCCCTTACTGCCAGTAACTTTGGTCGTTAACTACGGCTCACACTCTCTAAGTACCTTTTTGCACCTTTTTACCACACTTTCAATAGTTTGGCGACATCATCTATACATATCAYTAATATATTCTATGGATATACTTTTATTGTTAAGTTTCAAAATAATTTTTTTCTCAGCAGTACTTAATTTTTTACCTTTAGCCATTTTTAGTACGCCCAAAATTTGGTCGGATAAATACATGTCTAATGATTGGAAAATTGGTGTCCTCTGACTAAGGACGATTTCGCACTCTGCGCTAATTGCCGCGGAATTAGTGTTCGTAACATTGCAATATAGAGTTCCTACGGCAGTTTTATGTGAGTCCATTTGTTAATAAACTGATTGGACCTATATTAATATTTTCAYAATAAACCCTGGAAAAGAACCTTGATAAACAGATCGACACCCATCACATTTTTGTCGAATTTAAAGCCGCTTCCATGCCGTTCACTTAGTATTCACACTGCAATCAAACATCATGCGACGCAACGATGAGTGGGACAACACAYTGCAACAAGCGACGACCAGTATATGTAAAATTACGAAAATTTCCTCGCACAAATAAGCTTCAGTTTCAGTTAAAAAGCCTACAGCGTACCAGTCTTTCAAAAAATGCCTAAGATAGCTATGTAAAAATCATTAGAAGCTACCACAGAAAACTATTATCTGTGACAAAACAAAATGTTTTTGAAAAGATCTGTGAGGAAGTTAGTTGTAGTGGTTAAAAATCAAGACGTCTTAACGAACATAAAACAGAAGTCCAGAAAAGTGGAGGAAAAAATATCGGTCACCAAAGGAAAGTGAAATATTACTTCACAGCCGCATTTTAAGTATCTGGAAGTAATATTCGACTCAATTCTCCAATTAAAGAAAAAAAAGGGGTACAAGTCAGATAAAGCAAATAAAGTCCGTAACGTCACGAATGATAAAGCAAAAGTAATGAGATCCGTTATTTTGTACCCAGCTCCAATAAAGTTTCAGGCACACGCTATACATGAAATCATATGCAAGATCAAATAACGCTTTCCGAAACATTCATCGATGCTGCAGAAGCAATAGACAGTATGCTAACCAGGGAYACGAATTCGCACGAATATACCAGCTATCATAACCGTCCACGCCGAAAGAGAAGAGAAAACCAAGAGCATCGCAATGTGGCAGTACAGACAGTACACAGACTTTTACCGGGCATGAATATATGGATAGATACACATCATGGAAATTCGCATTTATGTCAGCACGAAATATACAGGGTGGGTAGAAAACTTTRAGCACGTATTGTTCTCAGATTTTAAGTATAGAAGAAAAGCTAAATATTATATTATCAGCGGTAGTTTTCGGTTGAAATTTTCGTAGGATTTTATGAGTCAGTTTTATTATGATTAAATTTAGACATTTACAGCAGATTAGTCGTAAGAAAGATGAACTATGAAAAGGATGAACTATTACAGGTACATAAGTACACAGGGTGGCTGATGAATTTTGCTACATTAAGAAACTCAAATAATTTTTTTTTTTCAGTGTATGGAATTCATTTTTCTTTTATTCATGTTAAAGCTCATTCAATTTTATTAAATATAGCTTAAATAGTTTTAAAAATAATGGAATTTAAATGCCTCCCCTGCTCGTTGATGCATGTGCGGCATCTTACCAAAAAGTTGTTCATTACTGCTTGGAGAGTTGAGACAGTAATAGCCGCAATTGTTTCTCGAATGGATTGCCTTAGTTCATTCAAATTTGCTGGTTTTGCTTTGTAGACTTCCTGTTTGCAATAAAACCACAAGAAAAAGTCAGACGCAGTAAGGTCAGGCGACCTGGGTGGCCAACGGAATGTGGAGTTTAGAAGAAGAAGGGCCCGACAATGCAGCGTGATGAAACTGCACACCAGACTGTGACACCAAGTGGATGCAATTCCGTCTCATGTGGGTTGGAAGCATTCCATATTCGACAATTTTGTTTGTTTATGTTGATGTTTAAATCGAAATGGGCCTCGTCAGACATGAAAAGACAGTTCAACATGTTTCCGTCCTCTTCCACCATTTGAAGCATCTTCTGGCAAAATTCCAAGCGAAWCGGCAAATCTACAGCGTTYAGTTTGTTGGCCATTTGAATTTTATGTGAGAATAARTCCAAATCTTTATGCATAATTGACTGTAATGACAGTAATGACTGCTTACACACATTTGAGCAGATAAGCTTCTTGTCGAAGCACGTGGATTGTTTTGTATGGCAGCAGCTWCAGCAGCGATTGTYTCCTTTGTGGTAAGGTCTTCTGTTGACTGTCCCATACTCGGCAAAACTGTTTACAAGTCTCATTACGGTCCATCTGTTCGGAGGATTGCCGCCAAACGTGCGCCTATACTCTCTTTGAACCGAAACTACGGACGYCAATGCGTGATAGCCGCGGMMAATCCAAATTCTTRTTTCAGTGTCCCAGTTATCCATTTTTGTTAAGTGTAAAAGTCAATCTGCAAAATAAAATAAAAAATTAACCAGATTCATTAAATAGAAAAAAAGTTATTTACTTTTTTTTGGTAGCGGCTTTCATCARSYGCCCTGTATATATAAATATATAAGGTTTGTTAGAAAAAGGAAAATCATAATACGTACATATGTAGTATATGGGATTTGGAGGTAATATCCATGCGAGTTTATGTATTTTTCTGGATGTTATTTGTTTCATGGGGGCTAGGTAAATTTTTCGGCTAATTGTATCTATTTACAAGATAACTCACATTTTGCCGATATATTGGGAAATTCCGAAATCATTGTATTTGGCATATGGGAGTTAAGAAAATTATTGGCCCGATTCAATCCATTTTTACACAMAGACCTACCATTTCCAGGAGAGGATTAACCATGAATTATACATCTCACACATTGACCGATATTTGAGGTTAAAAGTCAACAATAGAAACTGTCGTCCAAATATAAGGTGGCATAATTTAAAGGCATTTGGATATGGTTTTATCCTGTTATATTAATAGTTTCTTGATTTTACACTGGAAATAAATTGGTTGGATTTTAAAATGATGTTATATGGGAAGTAAGCGTGGTTACCTTTCGATTTTGCCCATCTTTGAATTGTAACATAAGAATGTGAGAAGAAGAAGTAATTGGTCAAGTGGCTCCCAAAATATGTGCTTTCACCTTAAAGTGAGCAATGCCACGGCCATTGTTAAGCTTTAACCTTAGTTCCTTTTAATCTTTGCCATACCATCTCGAATGTAAAATTGTCGTATTTAGTTGTGGATTTATTGCGCTTTCAGTAGTTTTGAATAGTAACATTATATTGGGAGTATAGGGGATTATCTTCCGATTTTATCCAATTTTTTAGTGTCGGTAGGGGTGCTTAAGGTATTTGTAGATATGTATATGGATTATACTGATTGTTGTTAATGAATAATGCCKTTTTTTGGGCACTATTCATGTGGAACCGGCAAGGAATTTATAGAATCACGACAGTGAAGCGCATTGGCAGATGTATCGCCAGGCATTGCGGATTTAGATAATGGACAAATGACGCACAAAAATTTATAACAAATATGTAACATAAAAAAGTCGGGTTATCTACGGTGTTGAGAAAAACTCTAGTSATGGTTTGAGATGAGTGCATGATATTCTTGACAACAACGAAATAAAGTTCTGATGMCAATTCCAACTTTTACGCCAGCGGATTCGCGGGCTTAGGCCTAGTACGTTATACCCAATTTATTTTATAATATAACTTTGTAGACACCAGGATATATTTCACTCATTTTAATTTTTACTAGTTGCTGGAATAAATACTGTACCTCTACTTGATGTGATTATCAATAAATTCAAATGTCTAATACTTCTCACACCGTCCTGACCCACAAACTCGTAAAGTATGTGAGAAAATAGAGTTTAATAAGTRCAAATACAAATAATTCAACAGGTGATAGCAACGCGAAATATATAAAAATAATAATCTCTTTCCAGCTAACTATACTCGTTTACTTTATATATGATCACTCTCTGGTATTGTTGAAGTCAGTTAGAAACGTACATCAGTCGCGAGTGCACGTCGAAAGTATACTCACTTTAATCAAAACAAAGCGCTTTTCGTCTTACTGTCATACCTTGATGTCAACAATCCCATTTCGTAGCTTTGATTAAAATAACTACGGTGTGAACAGGTTTCAGGGGGGTTATCCGAATTTGGCCAGATAAGTGATTCGTGTAGTGATTTGTTTTAACATAAAGAGATATGCCKATGCATATACTTACCCTAAAAAATAACGTCAGGTTCTAAATATATTAACCGACAGTGTTTATAATAAAAGTTTTTGGATTAAACATCACTGCGTGGTCGACCATTGTATTGCTCCAAATGCGAGTGTTAATGATTACTATTARTACATATTATATACGTATTTATATACGTGAATAAAACATCTAATGAAAAATAWTTTTTCCACTCCAATCAAAGAAAATTCATTATCCTAATTGATATTAGTCATGTGATTTTAAATTGATTAGAGSCACACAAAACTTTTCTACAGAATGCTGTAGACTGTAAACACACACTTACTTACATATGTACGTAGGTATAAGTATGTAAAGAATCTACGAATGATAGCCAATGTACAAACATACTACCATGAATAGTGATAGTGATCAATTTACGGTCGCTTTCAATATTTAAGTAATGGGTTATGCAAATCAAACTCAAGTAATTTATTGTTGCTAATGCTTTAAGTCACGATTGGAACTTTACGCTTAAATTTAGCTCGTCTTTTATGCCTCAAAAAACTTGCATGACATGTATGTGTATCTGAATATAAGAATTTGTATAAGCGGTTAAGCATGTGACATTAAATCTAACACCTGTGAATACATGAGCGAATAATTGCATAAGWGGTAGTGAATCTTAAAGCCTTTTTCAGAAATTTATGCAAGCTTAGAAAAAACTTTCTTTACTGCAAACAAATTAAGCGAACTTTAATTATGAATATTTCAAAAATCTCTTTGGAAACACCAAAATCGGATTTAGATTTCGGTGATAAGGTAAGATAGATAAYTATATTTTATATACGTATGGATGTACATATATACGAGTATATATAATACATTGATACATATATGTATATGAGATATATAAATAAATTACTATTGAAATTAAAACTGTATTTTTAAACAWTTTTTTTACAAACAGACTTATGATGTAAACGGTATAATTTATCCTGAAACTGAGAARAGGGGATTAAAATTATATATGAGGAGAGGGAAATCTTAATAAGTTACGTTCAACCTTTTGTATCTTATAACGTTCAAAGCCGAAGAAATAGCTTCACTTAGAACTTTGTATCAAATAAAAAGGGAAGATGTACTCGAACATTTTTTATTGTCGCAATCTGTAAGAATAAAATCCGAGGAAAAATTCTTCRGGTTTTTTTGTGAATCTTTTATCTCGTTATATTAATTTCTTCTAGATTTGAAATGAAATTTAGAATTGTGTTATATGGGAAATAGGAGTGTGTAGGAGTGTCAAAAGACCCCGAATTTGGTTGAAATCGGTCGAACAGTTATTGATGTAGTTATTGATTAATTTTTTTTTTTTTTGTTTTAACATTACCGTTATATAGGGAGAGGGCGGGGTTATCATCCAATTTCGTCCATTTTATATATTTATATATATATATATATTAATTTATATATAATATTTGCTCTAGGACAACTTGGTTTTTGTAGCTTTAGGGGTTAAAAAAATAGACATTTAACCTATTGGARGGCGCGGCCACGCCTACTTTGAGAAAATGTTAGCCCACAGGWCCCCCATACTACTGCGATCCGCTTTGCCAAATATCAGTTCCAATTCTTACTTTTGTGCTTAGTATGAGGCCTTTATAGATATTCGTTTAATGACGCTTCGTGGACCTGGCAGTGGTCCGACTACGACCACCTACGAACTCGTSCACACTTTTTTACCAAGAAACACTTGGTTTAAGACAAGACAGATTAAATTTAGATGATACAGGTGAATAAAGCATATGGTAATAGCAGCAAGATGTTGCAAGAGTATAATAACCACACCTCTTTTTGGTATTGCGAWTTTTTCATTTTGTTGCAAAATTAGACTAGGGGGCCCCTCCACTCGTTACCAAGGCTGAAGTATAAGATTCATGTATTATAAACTAACAGATGGGCTGAAAGATTGATACATTCCGAAAACGTCTGTGGAATACAGAGAAAATTTGTCACACTACAAGAAACCTTTTTATCAACACTGTAGTTACTGCGCTATTTCTGTGCACATAATCTAGCGAACTAGCCGCGTTAACTTGTGATGCAAATTTGYGAATTTTTGTTGTGATCTTAAAAATATCTTACAGTACAATCAGTATGCATTAATGTTACCAAAAATTATTGTAATGCTGCATTATCACAGAGTTATTATTTTTATACTATTGCAATCTTTTCCTACAGAGTATAATAGGCAGATATAGAGTTATTTAAATAAATGTCTAGGATAATGAAAAAGGTCAAATCCGGGTAACTKTCTGTCTATCCGTCCGTCCGTGCAAGCTGTAACTTGAGTAAAAATTCACACATTTTCATGAAACTTGGTATGCCTTTTTTTTTGTACAAGAATACGTGTTCGTAGGTGGGCGTAATCCATGCGCACAAATYGCCATTAACGGAAAACCTATAAATTGTCATAATTAAGCTCTACAAACCTAAACTAAAACTTTGAAAAAGTTTGCGTGCCCCGTCCTCYAATAAGTTTTATGTACATATCTCCTAAACCACTAAAACTGAAACAACCAAATTTGTTTAGTACAAATATTATGAAAACCCCTGTCGACAGTGTGAAATTAGATGAAATCGGAAGATAACTCCACTCACTACCAATATAACATTACTGTTCAAAACTATTTAAAAAGCAATAAATCAATAACTAATTGCRCTAAAGACATTAAGTTTAACCTCAGAGATGTATTGAGAAGGCTTTAAGGGAGCCGACGGACCGATTTCAACTAAACTTAGTATGTAGCATTTTTCTATGCTAGAGTGGAAAATGGGAGAATTCCACTTTTTGGTATACAAATCAGAAAGCAATTGATATAACGGGCTAAGGCTTTGTATTAACAATTCCTTTAAGGTATGSCACCAAAAATTGTATCCCAGAATTTTTTTGACTTTTTACCGAAAATATCGGTCAAAGTGTCAATATACAATATAAATTCTGACAAAAACCTTTCCCGACAACAGTATTTCTGGATATTAGAAATGGGTTGAATCGGTTCAATACTCTGACCATATACCTAATATAAAGATTTTCGAACTTTATGCTGGATATATCGGCCAATATTTGCGTTATCTCAATGAAAATTACAGAACGTGTTTTACTCTTAACAGTATATCTTTGTGTCTAAAATAGTTACTATTGAGGRAAAACTTGACCAGCACTTCATATAACTATAACCAGGATTTTCGAACATCCGCCTGACTTTGGTCTATATGATTGGTGATTGTAGCAAGGTACCTTAGGAACCCGGTCCGGTCCCTTAATTGGGAAGGTGCCGCTT